GAAGAAGAAGAAGAAGAAGAAGAAGAAGAAGAAGAAGAAGAAGAAGAAGAAGAAGAAGAAGAAGAAGAAGAAGAAGAAGAAGAAGAAGAAGAGTTAACTAACACAATTGCCAGGCACAGCTAAGGGGATTGAACAGGGTGTTTTGTGAAGAGTCCTGGCATATCATGTGCATGTAGAAAACAGCAGCATTATACACACACACACACACACACACACACACACACACACACACACACACACACACACACGACCATCCCAACAAGCACAGAGAAGCCCTTGAGGTCATAGCTCTCAGCACAGGCCTGTTAGATTCTATTGGGATTGCCTCTCACCTGCCCGGGACTAAGAGCCCTGATAGACACAAGGATGTCTGTGAAAGAGAGTGGACAGTGAAGTAAAGCATGAATAGAAACACAGAAACAGAAGCAGAGACCAGAGGAGGAAACATGGAGACCAGAGGAGGAAGCATGTCCCTGCCGTCCATCTCACCTTTTTCTGGACTCTCTAGCTGTGTCCAGTGGATAGGATATGTTGAAAGGTCTCAGGTGCAGGTTCCCAACTGAGTCAGACTGTTGGGAGTGAGACATTTATTAGAGGAGTTATTAAAGTTATAGACACAGAAACAGATGGACAACACATGGTGAGGACTGTGAAGAGAAGAATCGGTCCCCATAAGGTGGGAGGGGGACTCTTGACTTACAGATTTCTGTCTGAGCACAAGGTAGCTTCTCAGTATAAGTCTGTATCTGGGCTCTCTGATGCCTAGGCAGGAGGCAGGGAAGGGGATGGAGAGTCAGATATGTATCCACCAGTACTGCCTTTGAAGTAAACTCACTTTCCCAAGTGAGAAACCCTGCCACCTGGGTGTCTATTATCTTAAATTCACAGACAGTGTCTTAGCAGGGCTCTGTATCTATGAAGGGGGCGGGGCTCTGCAGGTATTGTAGCCTAAACAGCAGCTAAGTTCTAACATTACAATCTTATGCATATCTCCTACCCTCAAAAGTCTCCTAATCCATCCCACTTATGTACTGAAGACAGCACTGGTCAAACCTTGAAAGATAAGAGCCCAAGAACCCCTTATCATACCTACCCACCCACCACCCCCCACATCTACCCAGCACGTGAGATATCCATAGATACCACTGTACCAGCCACAGCGACTTCACAAATGCTCTACCTGTGAGATATATTAGCTGCCATAATCATCAACACTCTAACAATACCGTGACGTCCATTGTGCTGAAGAGAAATCCAAGTCTGGACTAAATTAGCGCCTGCTCAAGGCTGCACAGCCATCAGTGACACAATTGGAACCTGGGCTCAGGTGTGGTGGCTCCATAGTCAGCATGTATCACACCCACTGTGCTACCTCAACCTCCTAATTGTTGTCCTTATTTTCACTCATCAAACATTGAGAGGGCCTGGAATGGGTCCTGTTGTTGGTTGCTTTTGCTTTTTAGAGAGGCCCGCCACCCTAAAAAAAAAAAAAAAAAAAAAAAAAAAAAAAAAAAAAAAAAAAACTTATTCTTAATTATAAATGTCTGGCCTTTAGTTGGCCTGTTTCTTGCCAGCTTTTCTTAACTTTAAATTAACTGATCTGTCTTTTGCCTATAGGCTTTTATCTTTCTCTATTCCTGTATACCTTTCTTTGTTTCTTAATCTGTGACTGACTGTGTGGCTGTGTAGCTGGGTGGCTGGCCCTTGATGTCCTCCTCTCCCTTTCTCTCTTTTTCTCTCTCTCTGTGTCTGTCTCTCTGTGTGTGTGTGTCTCTCTCTCTGTCTCTGTCTCTCTCTCTGTGTCTCTGTCTGTCTGTCTCTGTCTCTCTCTCTCTCTTGTTTCTTGATCTTTTCTCCTCCCAGATTTCTCCTTCTATATATCCTCTCTCCTGACTTGCTATTGGCCGTTCAGATCTTTATTAGACCATCAGGTGTCTTAGACAGGCACAGTAACACAGCTTCACAGAGTTAAACAAATGCAACCTAAACAAAATTACCACACCTTAAAGTAATATTCTACAACAGGATCCCACATTTTCACAAGAATGAACAGAGCAGAGAGCTATGCCCTCTGGTTGCTGTACCTAACCTGGTGTCAAAATGTGGAAGTAAAATTTTTCCTGCTGTGCTCAGGGTTCATGGAGGTGAAAGCTACCATGCACATGGTTGGATGGAGAAAGGTCCAGAAAATGGTATCACTGTCTAAGAAGGAGAGGTAGATGGCAAGGGTAGGGTACAGGAGAATTTTCAGTCTGCCTTTCTGGGACTTTTCTAAAGGTCACTTCCCAGTCACTTGAAGTAAAAGAATAAATAAGAGATAGATATATGGATGATAGATGATTGATTGATAGATAGATGATAGATAGATAGATAGATAGATAGA